ATATTTCTCCTTCTGCACGATAGACTTCCGACAGGGTAGATTGTTCGCCACTGGTATCATTACCAAATTAATTTCGACCTCACCAGAAGGATGGGTGAGTCTAAATGGGAATTCAGTATGAGAGAGTATTACATTCTGGTCGGTATCTACCAAGGATGACGCCCCGTACGACCATACATGATTTCCACTATTACCGGTTTCAGCGTATTTTTCCATATCGTGCATCGAGTATGAAACAGCACTAACAAGAGACTCGTTATAAAACGCACGAATAAAAACCACAGGGCGTTTTATCAATCCGTGGTTTTCCGATCGTATTATTCCCGAAGCACATATAGTTACTAGACAAGCTAGCATAATCTTTGCAAAGAGGTACCAGTTTGGAAACCGATCCTGAGTGTCTGAACTAGTAGAGTTTCTTGTCGAAAAGTCCGGTTTCGACTTGTAAGCAAGTAAACTTGAGCCGATCATTGCTGCAGCATAAGTATAAACAGGAATCTCCGCCTTTTTAAGCTCTAAGTAAGAAAGTGCACCGATTACTATGCATCTTTTACCTGCATTCAAAGCTGAGTGAATCTGTGGTGTTGTCAATTCTAGTACGCTAATACTGGCTAACTGATAGGTGGCAAATAATAAACCAGCTAGTATAGCATTCACACTTTGATGACAGTGCAAATTTGTTTTAAAGTCAATTAAACACCACAAAATCGACACCAGCAGCAAGAATACTGCCGAACATTCTCGATCGGTAGACTTCCAGGTCACATTTCGCAAGGGATACCATATTAATACCAGGAGGGATATTCCCGCGCCAGTGAATGCTGACGCTGTTCCTGCAATGCGCATGAACACAGCAAAAAATAATATCGCTGCACCAAGCTTGTTCATAAAATTTAAAGATTGGATCTGCGTTCTACCCATTATGTGACATAAAATCACAACCAGTATGGGTTCTAGCATTTTAACAAGTTGCGTATCAGCTCCGCCTAGCAGCCAGAATGAATATAATGCTGCTATCGTTCCACCAATATGTGCTGTAGCGGCAAGAGTAGGTGTTATTTCCTTAATGATACCCCACCGAATCGTATTATTTTCGTGTATATGCCACACCAATACGGCCATAAAATATGGTAGTGCGTGGGATAATGTGAGGAGTGACATACTAATCCCATCTTTCATAGAACGCCGCGAATAGTCAACGTACAGTGTGCTACTTATGTACCATACGATTATGCTGACAGCGGCCATAAAGTTTTGCCATTGGAAAGCACCATTCATTTGCGTAAAGAATGTCATGCTCCCAAAGGTGCGTGGTAGAACGTTCAGATTATAAATACGAGTCGGGATAGCAGAATAAAAGTACCCAGTCATGTGCAAGAAATTAAATAATGAAAGTTATATTTTATTCTATATAGCTTGGAAGAAACGAAAACAAGAAACAATAGGTTTCTCTTAGCTGGTAAAATTCTTGTCTGAGTGAAATGCACTGAGTTCTTCTATATTTTTTGTAATTGTTTTCTAATTCACGAGACTCGGATTTTCATTCGAGTTTTTCTCTCCCGTGGGAGGCCCCAGGTAAGGTAACTGGTGTTCCCACCATATTCCAATGATTCTGAGGCATATTCCGACCGTTCGCACGTAGAACTTTAGGCTGGAATGGTCTAAATACAAGGTGTTTTGTCGGTGCTTGTGCAATGACTTTCGAAAGAATAGGCAAAAGTCTAATGAAATTACGTCGACCGGAACCGTCAATCGATGGAATATTCTAGAGTCTATAGAACTTACTCTTCACCCATAATTGTCAGCTCAAAGCCTCAAACAACAAAAAATAAATCCATGAAGAGTTATGAGCTGACCGAGGAACATTTATTTTTCGATTATAGAAAAATCAGTATATTGTTTATTTGTACCCTTGGGGACAAGAATTTTCATTTTAGGCGAATTGTCCCTGGGTCGACGTCTCCCAACAGATGTGGGGTTTGTTCGACCTCGAGCTCTTCGCCAGCCACGAGGACCATGTCCTCACCTCACTGTATACTGCACGAAGGACGTCACTGGTGCCTACGGCCAGAATGCCTACGGCCAGAATGCCAACGGCC